AGATTGTTCCAATAATACTTGTTTACAGTAGTGACATTACTCGAAGACTGCCATTAGACACAATTTTCACAGTGGTAATTCTGCATGTTTAACTGCAGTCCCATAAATTAGAAGTTTTCTTTTTGACTTCTGTGTTGAATCCAACATTTGATCATTTGGATAAGAAAGCCTTAATTTGGCCTGCCTCATACTACTTAGCCTATTATGAACTGTATGCATCCTCATTGTTGCATTTCTGTAATGACAAATTTAATGTTTTGGATATGTTGAAAAAGTTACAATATACATCTCTGTCTCTTTCTTTTTGTAAGAAGAATCTCAAATATTCATATATTCTGCAGGATAGATAATGGGAAGAAACCCACTGTTCCATTCACTGAATTCTGATAAGGGAATCCATACAGATGAATTTAAGGAATTGATTGTTCCTGGGTTTCCTTGCAGGACTATTGTTATGAATGTGGGTATGGGTGTGGTGTTTGGGTTTTTTTAATCTAACAGTTGGCTCAGAGCAGCCGGCCCTGGGGAGGCGCGTTGGCCCTGCTGGGGCCGTGTGAGAGGAACCGGAAAGGGAGGGGCCGGTGGGGGCCCCAGAGCCCGGTTCCCAACTGGCCCCAACGTGGGACTAAACCAGCGTGTGCCCCACTAGCCCCCTATCGGGGTAACCCAGGCCCAGCCTGCCAGGCACCGGGCACCTCCCGCCCTGCAGCACTTAGTTATGTATGCACAGTAGTCTGTGGTGGACACAAGTGTTTGTTTAAGGAATATCTGAATCATTAGTATTGGCAGCATTGCCTTGCTAAAAACTGTTTACGTAACTTTATTGTTTGTTTTACACTAATAGCCTGTTAGTGCAAAGACTTTAGGTAGACATTAAGATTCTCTCCATTGATATGTTAGTGTGAACTCTCTTCCCTTCTAGAATTTTGTTTTGCCTCCAGATGTGGATTCAGAATTGTGCTACCCAGAATATTGAATAGTAGATTAATATTTTCATCACATTTAAAAGAGCTACTTTTCATTTCTGACATAATCACATGTGGTAACTTTCACAGTTTCATGTATTTTCCATGGAGTAGGCTGCAGAAAGTATCTAAATTTGTCTTTTCAGTATAATACAAGATTATTAGTTGATAATCCCATGAGTTTTTCTTGTATAAGTGTCTGGAATATCTCTGCTTTATTCTGTAGAGATCAAAATTAGAAAAGATTTCATTAAAAATCTGCTTTAGTCTCTTGATATGATATGCTCCCTGTATAGTTAGATCCTACAAAGTCTTTCAAGCTTGTGTTCAGAAGCAAACCTTTAGGCAAGCAGGGTGACTTGACCTTGCATACTTTCCAGAAGATTAAACCACTCAGAAGTAAAAGAGACTGAAGAAATCCCAATGTTTAAGAGACAGTCCCTCCCTCTCTTGTCCCCCCTCCCCAGCTCACACCAATCTTTCTTTGAGAGAATTATACTAATAGTTAAATAAGAACTGGCTTTCTTATGAGTGCTTGTGTGAGTTGAGGTGCCTAAAGTTTTTCATGTGTTTTTGTTTTCCTCTTCTTACTTCTGGATTATATGTCTTCTCTGGGAAGCAGAGGAAAAGGACCTCACCCTGCAGATTAGAATGTTAGGAGCAGGAGACAGAAAAACATAATTTAGGGGACCCATCCTTCTATGAGAAAGCAGCATGGCTCTCTACAAAATATAGAGTGTCTTTTCTTCTAGTCTTCCATTTTCATGGATTTTTTTCCTTCCTCCCCACTTCCTCCTTTGCTTTCCCACACCCAGTCTCAGAGGTCTTATCAGGCTAAGTTTGAGGGCATGTTTACATTACAAACTTAAGTTGACCTATGGTAGGTTGACTAATAGTCTCCTCAGTAATTATTGTGGTAGTTCATGTCCACTCTACTTCCCCCTTCTAGTAGTGGGGCTCATCATCACCAGGAATGCTTACACTGATTTAAGAATGGCAATGTAGGGATCCCTTAAACTCCATTCATCAGAAGAAGTGGGTTGTGCCCCCAAAAGCTCATGATACCATCTATATTTTTTGTTAGTCTCTAAGGTGCTGCAAACACTATTTGTTGTTTTTAAAGTTTTTTTTTTCCTATTACAGACTAACATGGCTAACCCTCTAAAACTTTTGAATGTAGGGAGCTAAGAAGCTGGGCTATCAAGGCTGTGCAGCTCCTTTCCTGGAGCCCAGCTGCCTCCTAGCTCCCTGCTGGGAGCACAGTAACTGCCCAGACTTGCAGTGAGCCAGGCTTCCAGTGGAGGAGTGGGGAACTGGGTGCCTTGGTACAGCTAGGCTTCCAGTGGAAAGCTGAGTGCCTTGGGGCAGCCAGGCTCCCAGCGGGGAGCCTAGTGTGTTGAGCTCAGGAAACAGTTTGGCTGGGTGTGGGCAAACTGGAGTCTGAGCAGCGTTGTGTCTCCAAGTGGGGAGCCCAGAGAGTAACTGGGCTGTAGCTGGAGTCTCCACCTATCCTCTGGTGATAGCTCAAGCTGTGAGCGGCTTTCTTGTGATTTTCATGGCTCTAGCCATGACAGCCAACAACTGATTATAACCCACAGCGTCTACATAGAGTTTGGGTTGCAGTTAGAGTTGCCAGGTGTCTGGTATTGACCCGGATAGTCCGGTATTTTCACCTCCTGTATGATTAAAAAAAAACCAGAAAATACCGGACACCTAAAATGTCCGGTATTTTCTGGTTTTTTTCCCCTGCTAGGAGGTGAAAATACCGGACACCTGGCAACTCTACACACACTCAGCAACCGGGCCCAGTCCCCGAGCCCCCTCTCTCCCCGGGCCCTCGGACCCTCCCCTGCTTACCTGGTGCAGCAGGGAAGCTGTCTTCTGGCTTGATCAGGAAAATAAGATGGCCGCTGGCAAAAAGCTTCAATGGCCTTTTCTTAAAGGCACCATGTTGCTTTATTTTATTTTATTTTATTTTTTTTGCTTAATAGCTCTCGGGGTCCTTTTTTATTTTTGGCTCAACAACTTTGGTCTCCCCCCCCCCCCTTGCCAGGACTGGCTCCGACACGCCGCCCCGGGGACCCAGAGCCGTGTGGGGCTGGACAGGCCCCCCTGCGCCGAGGCAGAGCCAGGACTGGCTCCGACACGCCGCCCCGGGGACCCAGAGCCGTGTGGGGCTGGACAGGCCCCCCTGCGCCGAGGCAGGGCCAGGACTGGCTCCGACACGCCGCCCCGGGGACCCAGAGCCGTGTGGGGCTGGACAGGCCCCCCTGCGCCGAGGCAGGGCCAGGACTGGCTCCGACACGCCGCCCCGGGGACCCAGAGCCGTGTGGGGCTGGACAGGCCCCCCTGCGCCGAGGCAGGGCCAGGACTGGCTCCGACACGCCGCCCCGGGGACCCAGAGCCGTGTGGGGCTGGACAGGCCCCCCTGCGCCGAGGCAGGGCCAGGACTGGCTCCGACACGCCGCCCCGGGGACCCAGAGCCGTGTGGGGCTGGACAGGCCCCCCTGCGCCGAGGCAGGGCCAGGACTGGCTCCGACACGCCGCCCCGGGGACCCAGAGCCGTGTGGGGCTGGACAGGCCCCCCTGCGCCGAGGCAGGGCCAGGACTGGCTCCGACACGCCGCCCCGGGGACCCAGAGCCGTGTGGGGCTGGACAGGCCCCCCTGCGCCGAGGCAGGGCCAGGACTGGCTCCGACACGCCGCCCCGGGGACCCAGAGCCGTGTGGGGCTGGACAGGCCCCCCTGCGCCGAGGCAGGGCCAGGACTGGCTCCGACACGCCGCCCCGGGGACCCAGAGCCGTGTGGGGCTGGACAGGCCCCCCTGCGCCGAGGCAGGGCCAGGACTGGCTCCGACACGCCGCCCCGGGGACCCAGAGCCGTGTGGGGCTGGACAGGCCCCCCTGCGCCGAGGCAGGGCCAGGACTGGCTCCGACACGCCGCGCTGGGGTGTGGGGGGGGGCAGCTCGTGAAAAGACGAGGGAGACTAGGTGGGAACCCAGCAACCAGGGGCAGCGTGAGAGCTCCACTCCGCGCCGGCTGCCGGGGCGCCGGGCAGCAGGGACAGGACTCAGATCCTTCCGCTCCCAAGCACAGTCCCTCTTGCCCCCCTGAGCAGAGGGGGAATCGCCCTCCGCAGTAGTGAGTCTCTGACACACAGAGTGGGGTGGTTTTGTTGCCTCCGCAGTAGTGAGTCTCTGACACACAGAGCGGGGTGGTTTTGTTTTAACACACTAGCCCCAGGGCTCTGTGCACCTCCAGGAACGGAAGCGCCGGGCTGTGGCAAGGAGGGAAGGGCAGGTCCCCGGCTCTGACAAGGGCCCCGGAGCGTTTCTTACGCCGGGGGGGGATTTTAGATCATGTTCCACGTTTCACCCAGGGGTGCGCCCACCTCTCCCTAGCGGGGGGCACAGCTCCCAGTCGCCCGCCCCACGTCCCCCCTCCAGTCGGTCATGGGACAGCCCGGGACTGAGCCGCGCAAAGAAGCGACTGAGCAGCCGGGCAGAAGGAGCCAGCCCCACGGCCCGGCCAGCCAGTGCCCTATGGACGACTGCTCAGACCCCCAGCGTACAGAGAGCATGGCTGATTCCTGGCTATTGACAGGGGCAGGGTGGCTGGCTGCTAACAGTCCCGAGCACGTACCGGATGCGTTAGAGCCTCAAGGTGCTTGGGAAACATCAGCGACCCTCACCACCCTCCGTGCCTCGGTTTCCCCATCTCTGCAATGGGGTAACGGCTGGGATAGCACCGATGGGGAAACTGAGGCACAGAGAGGGGGCGATTTCTGAGGTCAGCAGCAGAGCCAGCACGACAGCCCGGGCTGTTCCCGATCCCAAGGCAAGTTCCTGCCACTCCAGCCCCGCTGCCCTGACCTAACTGAGGTCGGCCAGCGGGTCGCCTCTCCTCCCAGGGCTGGATTTATTCTGGAGACGCGGGGAACACACAACCCCACGCAAAGCCCCGGCAGCCTGGCCGTGCTGGTGGCCGTAGCCCCACGTGGGCTCCTTCCCGGCCCCCCCTGCCACACGGCGCCAGGCGAAAACGCCCCCAGAACCCAGCCCTACCTGAGCCAGAGCAGGAACTCCAGCAGATAGTCGCCTCTCCTCCCAGGGCTGGATTTATTCTGGAGACGCGGGGAACACACAACCCCACGCAAAGCCCCGGCAGCCTGGCCGTGCTGGTGGCCGTAGCCCCACGTGGGCTCCTTCCCGGCCCCCCCTGCCACACGGCGCCAGGCGAAAACGCCCCCAGAACCCAGCCCTACCTGAGCCAGAGCAGGAACTCCAGCAGATAGTACCCGACGGCGTAGTCCCAGAACCAGCTGGTGGAGGAGGACGGAGGCTGCAAGGCAGGAGGCGAACGCTCTGGTCAGAGGTTCCCCAGGCGGGGGCAGACCCGGGCCCCCTTTGTCTGTCGCTCCAGGACATTCCCGCGGACGGCAGGAAGCGTCAGACGGACGCTGGGGAATGAGGTGGGCAGAGCAGAACCGCACGGCTCAGACCTGGCCAGGAGCTGGGGGCCTGCCCTTGTGAAAGGCCTCGAGGGAGGTGGGGTCCACTCACCCCGCCCAGCTGTAAGAGAGCACCCCCGGCTGCACAGCGCCCCCTACGGGGGGACAGTGACCTACGCCCAGACGTAAGCGGGGAAGAAACACCGGGAGGAAGGTGCGGTGGAGGAGGGCCCCGATCCGTATGGAGAAGGTCGGACAATCAGCAAGTCAGCGAAGGGTCTGTACACGAACGCAAGGAGCCTGGGACCAAGCAGGAAGAACTGGAAGTCCTGGCCCATTCGGAGATCTACGGCGTGACTGGAATAACGGAGACTTGGTGGGACGACTCACGTGACGGGAGCACGGCCCGGGAAGGGTGTAGACTGCTCAGGAAGGACAGGCGGGGGGAGAAGGGGGAGGAGTGGCTCTGTATGTCAGAGAGCAGACGGATTGCTCAGCGCTCCAGGATACAGAGGGACTACGTCTAGACTGGCTTGATTTTCCGGAAATGCTTTTAACGGAAAAGTTTTCGGAACAGAGCGTCTAGATTGGCAGGATGCTTTTCTGCAAAAGCACTTTTTGTGGAAAAACGTCTGTGGCCAATCTAGACGCGTTTTTGCACAAAAAAGCCCCGATCGCCATTTTCGCGATCGGGGCTTTTTTGCGCAAAACAAATCTCAGCTGTCTACTCTGGGACTTTTGCCCGAACGGGAGCAGCATAGTATTTCCGCACGAAGCCCTGATTTCTTACAGTAGGACGTCAGCGTTCTTGCGCAAATTCAAGCAGCCAGTGTAGACAGCTGGCAAGTTTTTCCGGAAAAGCGGCTGATTTTCCGGAAAAACTGGCCAGTCTAGACACAGCCAGGGAGAAAAGCCTGTTGAAAGTCTTTGGGTCAAGCTTAGTGGTGGGAGCAACAGGGGTGATGTTGCTGGTGTCTGCTGTAGAGCAGATCAGGTGGAGGAGGTAGACGAGGTTTTCTTCAGACAACTAAGAGAAGCCTCCAGATCGCAGGCCCTGGTTCTCATGGGGGACTTCAATCACCCTGACATCTGCTGGGAGACCAATGCAGCAGGACACAGACAATCCAGGAAGTTTTGGGAGAACGTTGGGGATACTTGGTACCAGTGCTGAGCGAACCGACCAGGAGCCGTGCGCAGCTTGACCTGCTGCTCACAAACAGGGAGGAACTAGGAGGGGAAGTAGAGGTGGGTGACAACCTGGGCAGCAGGGATCATGAGATGGTCGAGTTCAGGATCCTGACCAAAGGAAGAAAGGAGAGCAGCAAAATACACACCCTGGATTTCAGAAAAGCAGAGAACTGATGGGCAGGATCCCTTGGGATGCTAACATGATGGGGAAAGGAGTCTGGGACAGCTGGCTGCATTTTAAAGAAGCCTTATAGAAGGCACAGGAACGAACCATCCCAACGTGCAGTAAGAAAAGCAAATGTGTCAGGCGACCAGATTGACTTACCGGCGAAATCCTTGCCGAGCTTAAACACAAAAAGGGAGCTTACAAGAAGTGGAAACTTGGACGGATGACGAGGGAGGAGTATAAATATATTCTCGAGAATGCCGGGGGGTTATCAGGAAGGTGAAAGCGGAATTGGAATTGCAGCTGGCAAGGGATGTGAAGGGGAAGAAGAAAGGTTTCTACAGGCATGTTAGCAAGAAGAGGGCGATGAGGGAGGCTGCGGGGCCCTTACTGGCTGAGGGAGGTAACCTAGGGACAGATGATGTGGGAAAAGCTGAAGTACTCAATGCTTTCTTTGCCTCTGTCTTCACAGACAGGGTCAGCTCCCAGACAAATGCACTAGGCAACACGGCGTGGGAAGGAGGTGGGCAGCCCTCGGTGGAGACAGAACAGGTGAAGAACTATTTAGAACAGCCAGACATACACAAATCCACGGGGCCAGATCTAATGCACCCGAGGGGCTCAGGGAGTTGGCAAATGTCATTGCGGAGCCTTTGGCCATTATCTTTGAAAACTCGTGGAGATCAGGAGAGATCCCGGATGACTGGAAAAAGGCGAATGTAGGGCCCATCTTTAAAAAGGGAAGAAGGACGATCCAGGGAACTACAGACCAGCCGGCCTCACCTCAGTCCCCGGAAAAATCCTGGAGGGGATCCTCAAGGAATCCATTTTGAAGCACTTGGAAGAGGGGAAGGTGACCGAGAATAGTCAACATGGATTCACCAAGGGCAAGTCCTGCCTGACCAATCGGATTAGCTTCTCTGATGCGGTAACTGGCTCTGTGGACGTGGGCAAGTCGGGGGATGTGATAAACCTTGAGTTTAGCAAAGCTTCTGATACGGTCTCCCACAATCCTCTTGCCAGCAAGTTGAGGAAGTCTGGATTGGATACATGCACCGTGACGTGGACAGAACGCTGGCTGGACTGTCGGGCCCAGCGGGTCGTGATCGCCGGCTCCGTGTCAGGCTGGCGGTCGGTTTCAAGTGAAGTGCTCCAAGGATCAGTTCTAGGGACGGTTTTGCTCAACATCTTTATGAATGACCTGGATGAGGGGATGGGTTGCACGCTCAGCAAGTTTGCTGGTGACATTAAGCTAGGGGGAGAGGTAGATGCCCTGGAGGGCAGAGATAGGGTCCAGAGTGACCTAGACAAATCGGAGGATTGGGCCACAAGAAATCTGATGAGGTTCAACAAGGACAAGGGCAGAGTCCTGCCCTTGGGAGGGAAGAATCCCAAGCACAGTTACAGGCTGGGGACCGACTGGCTAAGTAGCAGTTTGGCAGAAGAGGACCTGGGGATTCCAGTGGATGAGAAGCTGGAGATGAGTCAACAGGGCGCCCTCTAGCCAAGAAGGCTAACGACATATTGGGGTGCATTAGGAGGAGCAATGTCAGCAGATCTAGGGAAGTGATTGTTCCCCTTTACTCAGCTCTGGGGAGGCCAGATCTGGAGTATTGTGTCCAATTCTGGGCCCCCCACTACAGAAAGGATGTCGATTAATTCGAGAGGGTCCAGCGGAGAATGACCAAAATGATTCGGGGCTGGAGCACATGACCTATGAGGAGAGGTTGAGGGGTTTGGTGGTTGGGGGGGGGGCTGGCTGGGGTGGCCCTGGGGCCTCGTGTCTGATGCCAGGCGCTGCTCACACCTGGGAACGACTGAGCTAAGGAGCCCAAGGAACCCGCGTGTGCGAACACCAGGCTCTGGCCGGTTTGCCCCAGCGGGAAAGGCCTGGGCGGCTCCGGGGTCTGTGCAGGGGGGCGGGGGAGCGAGGCAGCTCAGCGGGAAGCTCTCACTGGTCCCTTCAGCCCTTAAAGCCTGGAGGAGAATGGGCCTGGCTTTGCCGAGCGGCCGCAAGGATCCCACGGCTCCGCCGGCCCTTCCCAGCTGCGAGTCCTTCCCCACGAGCTCAGCTCCCAGCCCCGCCCGCCCCCGGCGGCCTGGCTGACGAGGGCTCGTGCACTGACGTACCCCTCCCCGGGGCGCCCGTAGCCCTGCCCAGCGGCTGATGAACCCCAAGCTCAATAGACGGACGCTAGGGATGAGGTGGGCGGAACAGACCGGCCCCGGCTCAGATCTGGCCAGGAGTCTTGGGCCTGCCCTTGTGAGAGGCCTCGTGGGAGGTGGGGTACAAGTGATATGGGGTCCAATTACCCCGCCCATCGATAAGAGGACTGTGATGTAGTGGGGGTATTGGGCTGCTTTCTATGCTGACTCTGTGGTAACCCCACTGGCTGCTGCCGGTACCACAGCCCAGAAGGACAGGGAGTGAGACATTATGCAAAGAGGGGCTCTCAACCTGTCTGACCAGCTACCCCCCAAGGAGAGAAACAAAGGAAGGGGGATGCTGCCCTGGCTGGGGGGCAGGGCTGGGGGAGAGCGATGGAGTGTTATGTCCTCTGCGAAGTAATCTCTAATGCTCAAATTTCACTGGAAAATTGGGGAAAACTATTTCACAAGAAGAATAGCGAAGCATTGGAATGTGTTAGGTAGATGGTGGAATTTCCGTCCCTAGAGGTGTTTAAGTCCCGACTGGACCAAGCCCTGGCTGGGATGATGGAGTTGGGCTGGTCCTGCTTTGGGCAGGGGGCTGGACTCGGTGCCTCCTGAGGTCTCCGCCCGCCCTGGGGTTCTAGGATTCTAGGACTTGAACGCCACCGGCTCAGCAGCCCCATTTCCCCCAACCCCAGCGCCGGCCAGGCAGGGCCCTGCCCAGGGAGAGGGGATCCTGGGCCTGGGAGAGGCGATCGCAGGACGTCCTGCGCCTGACCCTCCCCGTGGCATGTCCAGCCCCCGGCGGGGCGGTTTCCTCGGCGCTGGGCTCTGGCGCTGCGTCTCGGCCGGTGCCGGGCTGGTCCCTCCCTGCTGCAGGGGCAG